CTCCTGAGCAGCTGGAATTACAGATGCATGGCTTCCAGCTACTTTTCGTATTTTTAGTAGAGACAGAATTTTACCATGTTGCCCAGGCTAGTCTCCAACTTCTGACCTCAAGTGATCTGCCCACCTTGGCCTCCCAAAGTGCTGGGATTATAGGCACGAGCCATTGTGTCTGGCGAATTATAGATGATTTTTATATCATTATTCTAAAGGTCAGTTTCCACCTAAAATGTAAAATATGCATGCCAAAAGTGCCACTTGTAGAAATCTATGCTACATAACCACTAGCATGAGTGCGAAAAAGACAAGAACAGTTACTGCAGCAGTGTCTGGAATAAAAAAAACTATACACTACCTAAATGTACATATGGGACTAGGATACTATATAGACCTTAAAAAGAATGAAGTAGACCTGCATATAATAACACAGAAAAATGTGTGATATTTTTCAGTGAACAGAACAAGTTGCAGAATAAGATACATACACATATATCTTGAAGTCAACTTCTGTTTTCTCTTATTTTTTTCTCACCCAGGGTGGAGTGCAGTGGTGCAATCACGGCTCACTGTAGCTTTGACCTCCTGGGCTCAGGCGATCTCTCCACTTCAGCCTTAAACTTAACATATATAAATATACATATTCCAGTTTCATCTAATAAACAGCTTATATATAAATGTGCTTATGCACCAAACAAATCTGGAAAGAAAAACACCCAACTGCCAACAGAAGTTACCATGGAGTACTAAGATGGAGACCACATAAACTTTCTACATTATATCCTCCGGTACTGCTTCAAATTGTGGAAATATGTAGTGGTTCACGCCTGTAATCCCAGCACTTTCGGAGGCTGAGGTGGGCGGATCACCTGAGGTCATGAGTTCGAGACCAACCTGGTCAACATGGTGAAACCCTGTCTCTACTAAAAATAGAAAAAAAAAACCCTGTCTCTACTAACAATAGAAAAACTAGCCAGGTGTGGTGGCATGCGCCTGTAATCCCAGCTACTCTGGAGGCTGAGGCAGGAGAATTGCTTGAACCTGGGAGGCGGAGGTTGCAGTGAGCTCAGATCACACCATTGCACTCCAGCCTGGGCGAAAGGGCAAGACTCTGTTTCAAAAGAAAAAAAAAAAAAAGTTAAAGTATGCATGTAAATTTGTATTGCTTTTATGAGTATAACCACAGAATAGCATAATACAAGTTCTAGTAAGCTACCATTTAAGAAAAAGGGGGGCCATATAAGTGCTTGTATAGAAGTACAAGAAACTAACAGCTGGGTGTGGTGGCTCACGCCTGTAATCCTAACACACTTTGGGAGGCCAACGTGGGTGAATCACTTGAGCCTAGGAGTTCAAGACCAGCCTGGGCAACATGACAAAACCCCATCTCTACAAAAAAATACAAAAAAATTAGCAGGGTGTGGTGGTGTGCACCAGTAGTCCCAGCTACTTGGGAGAATTGAGGCGGGAGGATCACTTGAGCCCAGGAGGGTCAAGGCTGAAAAGAAAAGAAACTACAATGGTTGTTTCTAAAGGAGGAGAGACTGAGACTGGGGGTTAGGAGAGTGGGAATTTTATTTTTCACTTTGATCCTTTTACATCATTTATTTTTTTTACTGTGTGCAAGTATTACCTGTAAACAATCCTAAAATTCGTATGGAACCACAAAAGCCTCAGAAAAGACAAAGCAAGCCTGGGCAAAAAGAACAAAGTTTGAAGTATCACACTACCTGATTTCAAAATATACCAGAAAGGTATAGTAACCAAAAGAGCATGGTATTGGTATGAAACACAGACACACAGGCCAATGGCATAGAATAGAGGACCCAGAAACAAATCCACATATTTAGAGCTAACTGATTTTCGACAAAGGCATCAAAAAAACAAAACAAAACAAAAACAAAAAACCTACCATAAATCAACAATACCACTACTGGGTATTTATTCAAAGGAAAGAAAATTAGTACATCAAAGGGATCCCCACATCCTCATGTTCATATTGCAGCACTATTCACAATAGCCAAGTTATGGAATTAGTGTCTATCAATAGGTAAATGAATAAAGAAAATGTGGGCCAGGTGTGATGGATCACACCTGTAATCCCAGCACTTTGGGATGCCGAGGTGGGTGGATCATGAGGTCAGAAGATCGAGACCATCCTGGCTAACACGAAACCTGTCTCTTTTAAAAAATATATATATATACAAAAAAAAAAAAATTAGCTGGGCGTGGTGGCGGGCGCCTGTAGTCCCAGCTACTTGGGAGGCTGAGGCAGGAGAATGGCGTGAACCCAGGAGGTGGAGCCTGCAGTGAGCGGGATCGCGCCACTGCACTCCAGCCTGCGACAGAGCAAGACTCCATCTCAAAATAAAAAAAAAAAATGAAAATGTGGTATTAGGCTGGGCGCGGTGGTTCACGCCTGTAATCCCAGCACTTTGGGAGGCCGAGGCGGGCAGATCACGAGGTCAGGAGATCGAGACCAGCCTGACCAATATGGTAAAACCCCGTGTTTATTAAAAACACAAAAATTAGACAAGTGTGGTGGTGCACGCCTATAGTCCCAGCTACTCAGGAGGCTGAGGCAGAAGAATCGTGTGAAACCAGGAGGCGGAGGTCGCAAGGAGCCGAGATTGCACCACTGCACTCCAGCCTGGGTGACAGAGTGAGACTCTGTCTTAAAAAAAAAAAAAAAGAAAGAAAATGTATTAATACACAATGGAATACTATTCAGCCATAAAAAAAGAATGAAATCCTGTCACCTGCAGGATGACAGAACTAGAGGTCATTATGTTACCTGAAATAAGTCAGGCACAGAAAGAAAAATATTGCATCTTTTCACCCACATGTAGAAGTTAAAGATCTTGCTCCTGGAAGTAGAGAGAATGATGGTTATCAGAGTCTGGGAAGTGGGAGAGGGGTGGAAGAGAGATTGGTTAATGGGTACATATATACAATTAGATAGAAGCAACAAGTTCTAGTGTTTGACAGCACAATAGGGTGACTACAGTTAACATTCATTTATTGTATATTTGAAATTAGCTTGCTAGGCTCGTGGCCCCTGCCTATAATTCCAGCTACTTGGGAGGCTGAGGCAAGATGATTGCGTGAGCCCAGGAGTACCAACCAGCCTGAGCAAGAGTAAGATCCTGTCTCAAAAAGAAAAGAAAAAAAGAAAAAAAGAAAAGCCTAGAAGATTAGAAGATTTGTTCTTTTTTTTTTTTTTTTTGAGACGGAGTCTCGCTCTGTCGCCCAGGCTGGAGTGCAGCGGCCTGATCTCGGCTCACTGCAAGCTCTGCCTCTCGGGTTCACGCCATTTTCCCGCCTCAGCCTCCTGAGTAGCTGGGACTACAGGCGCCCGCCACCACACCCGGCTAATTTTTTGTATTTTTAGTAGAGACGGGGTTTCACCGTGTTAGCCAGGATAGTCTCGATCTCCTGACCTCGTGATCCACCTGCCTCGGCCTCCCAAAGTGCTGGGATTTCAGGCGTGAGCCAACTCACCCTGCCAGAAGATTTGTTCTTAACACAAAGAAATAATGAATGCTGACTGGGCACGGTAGCTCACGCCTGTAATCCCAGCACTTTGGGAGGCCGAGGCAGGTGGATCACAAGGTCAGAAGATCGAGACTATCCTGGCTAACACGGTGAAACCCCGTCTCTACTAAAAATACAAAAAATTAGCCAGGCGTGGTGGCGGGCGCCTGTAGTCCCAGCTACTCAGGAGGCTGAGGCGGGAGAATCACTTGAACCTGGGAGGCAGAGGTGGCAGTGAGCTAAGATGGTGCCACTGCACTCCAGCCTGGGTGACAGAGCGAGACTCCATCTCAAAAAAAAAAAAAAAAAAAAGAAATAATGAATGTTTGAGGTGATGGATATTCTACAATACAGCCTGATTTGATCATTACACATCATATGCATGTATCAAAATATTACATGTATATCTACAACATAAATATGTACAACTATTATATATCAGTTATTTTACAGCTTAAGAAGTGATGTGAAAAATGAAGTTATACATATTTTAAGCATTATTACATGTTTGTAATGATGTGGAGATATTCTTTGTGGTGTAATAATGAAAAACACAGAACCCACAATTGTACATTCAATAGGGGCTAAACTGTATAAACCAAAAACAAGCAAAGAGTCACATGACTACTGTAAGTGGTTGCCTCTAGGTGATGACAGTTTCTTTTTTCGATTTTTTCTTATAAGCTCTAGATTTCTAAATAAGATTTTTGAAAAAGTAATACATTCACATGGCTTAAAATTTAAAACTTTTTTCAAATTTTCCACAAGCTGTGAGGATTAAAAACACAAAACCTGTAATGGCGTAGAGAGCCCACAACTGCAGCCAGAAAGGTAAAAAGGCGGCTTTGGGATCCCCAAGAGCGGACCCCGCCCGTTCCTGACTCTGGCACCCACCCAGTCCCAGCGGCTAGAAAGACCACGCCGACAGAGTGGCGGCCGTCAAGCTTCTAGGGTTCAAATCCACCTCCACCACTTCCTGGGGCAAAGCACTTGGCTTCTCGGGGCTCTGGATAACAGTTATGTGTAGCAAAATGGGACTAAAGATCGTATCTACCTCACAGAACTAGGAGGAGGAGGGGGGAGGAAATACAAGACACATAAAGTGCTTGGCAGAGCCTGCCACAAACCGAGCTCCCGGGAAACGTTAGCAAGGTTGCCATCGCGCAACAAGACCCAGGACGCTAGGCTGCAGGGCCGCTGCCCACCCCTCGCCCATCATCTCTTCCTGGCCAAGGCCAGGCTCCTGCTTCCGGTAAAGGGGCAGCGGGATCCGGCGGCCCCGCCTCGGTCAGGCTCTAGAGGCCTCCGCCGCCGGGTTCCGCCCTCAAGTCGGCTGGGTCCCGGGCCCGGCCACGCCCAGCCCCCACCGATTCCCTGTCCGGAGCTCTGAGATCTCCTCATCCTCAGAGGACTGAAGGCCTGGCGTGGGGTGGTGGGCAGCCGCCAGCCACAAGCCCTCGGCGCACGCTCACCATTTCCGACCGATCCGGTAGCCCCGCGTAGCGAACACCCGGCCCAGTCCCGTGCCTTTCTGCGCCTGCGCACAGGTTTCTGTCAAAACGGACAGCTCTAGCTGCCTATCAGGAGCCAGCGTGAAGCGGGGGCGGGCGAGACGATCCTGGCTCCAGGACTCTTGGAAAATCTGCTTTCCACTGTGGGAAAGCAAAAAGCTAAGGAGCGGAACGCTAAGCTGCGGAAAATTCCCAACTCCAGCCGTGCAGTAAAGATGCTGGTTCTGGCTGGACGCGGTGACTCACGCCTGTAATCCCAGCACTTTGGGAGGACAGTCGGAAGGATTGCTTGAGTCCAAGAGTTCGAGACCAGCCTGGGCAACAAAACTAGCCGGGCATGGTGGCGCGCCCCTGTAGTCCCAGCTACTCCGAAGGCTGAGGTGGGAGGATCGCCTGACCAGGAGTTCGAGGCTGCAGTGAGCCGAGATTGCGCCACTGCACTCCAACCTGGGCGACAGAACAAGAGACCCTGACTCACAAAAAAAAAAAAAAAAAAAAAAAATGCTGGTTCTCGGTATCGGAAGAGGCTTTCAGCTCTCAGTGGAGGTCTAAGCTGACTCTGAAGTCCCTGGGTGGAGCGTGGTGGGAGAGTATGAAGGCAAGTGGGACGGTTGCTGAGACTCCCTTTGCGTCCTGACTGAGGCAGAGACAGGCCCAGGGCCAAAATGCGCTTTAGGCTCGGGCAGGTCGGGGGTGGGGCTGGAGTCAGGTATCTCTGGAGTCTCCGGGGAAGATGCCGTGCAAGCTCGGAGATGAATTGGTTAGGGCTGGCCTGGGAGTCTTTCGAATCCGAGCTCAGCCCCGCCCCGCGTTACGTAGCAGAAGCCACTTCACATCTTTGTGCTTTATCTTGTTCTCACCTCTAAAAGGGGGACTCTTCTTCCCAGAGCCCTACGTTGTCCCGGTTTCCGCTCTTTAACATTCTATTCCCGCAGGTCACAAACGTTTCTGGGTCCTCTAGTAAGAATAACTTCTGTTAAAACGTGCTGCAGCTTAGTGAACCCTGTGCCACATTACTGTGCTGAACACGCACGTAGGTTATCTCCGTAGCTTCAGGGAAGTATCGGTAACCCCGATACTTTATAAATGCTGTTTCTCCCAGGCACTGTAGCTTGCTGGATTCAACGATGATCTAACTCCAAAGTTTCATTCCACGGCAGCTGCTCTTCAGTGAGGAAGGATTTGGTTCTCCTTCCAGGGGTGTCTGCATGTTAAGAGGATTGACTTTACTGCGAAGAAACCTAGCCGATACCACCTTAACCAGGTCAAAGTATTACTGGAAAGGGGACATATTGATGCCTTGTGCCCCGATAAAAATACGTTAAGGGCAAATTACCTCCAAGTCATTTTCCACAAAAACTCAAAGCCTTAAACCATGAGAAAACTTCACTAAACCCAGTGTGAGGGATGTTCTACAAGACACCTGTACTCCCCGTAAAGTCTCAAAAAGTCATGAAAGCAAGGAATGAATGCGGAACTGTCACAGATTAGAAGAGTAAAGAGAAAGCAAAATAACATTGGTGGGAAAATTGGTGAAATATGAGTAAGGGCTGTAGTTTAGTGTTATTTTACCAGTGTTAATTTATTATTTCTGGTAATTCTACTAGCATGGTTATGTGGGATCATAACATTGGAGAAAGCTGGGTGAAGACTGGGCAGGAACTCTTACCATTTTTGCAACAGCTCTGTAAATGTAAACTTATTTCAAAATAAATTTTTAAAAGGACTGGATCCAAAGGAATTTCTGTTGAATGCTGGAAACATTAGGAAAGCATTTAGCAAGGGGAAAAAGTGCTGCAGAGACTGGACCCTAAAACATCCTGGAAGACAAGCCCTGGAAGAATCACCACCTTCTTGCCCATGGAGAACCAGACTGAGAGGAATGAAAGGATTTTAAAAGATTACAATCCCAGAAGCAAAAGAGAATGGCCAATAGTTCATATGACGGGAGTCAAAATGAGAATGGAGGAGCTGGAATAGGACCAAGAATGTCCCGGAGTGGCAGGCTTACAAGCTTAAAGAGCTTTGGCCGGGCGCGGTGGCTCACGCCTGTAATCCCAGCACTTTGGGAGGCCGAGGTGGGCGGATTACGAGGTCAGGAGTTCAAGACCAGCCTGGCCAACATAGTGAAATCCCGTATCTACTAAAAATACACAAAAGATTAGCTGGGCGTGGTGGTGTGTGCCTGTAATCCCAGCTACTCGGGAGGCTGAGGCAGGAGAATTGCATGAACCCAGGAGGCGGAGGCTGCAGTGAGCTGAGATTGCGCCACTGCGATCTGCCTGGGCGACACAATGAGACTCTGTCTCAAAAAAAAAAAAAAAAAAAAAAAAAGAAAACAAAAAAAAGTTTTATACTGTGGTAATGGTGAAACCACTGTAAGATTTTAGGTAGAGGAGGCATGAGACAGGACTTCCACAGATAATCCTGAGGTAGCACGGAAGATATACTGGAGCAGGGAGGATGGAAAAATGAAGACAGGATGCCGTTATGGTCAGCCAGATTAGGAAGGAAGCATGTGGGCTGTGGCAATGTTGTAAACTCTGAGAGAAGGGATTTTAAAAAGTTTTGGGGCCGGGCGTGGTGGCTCACGCCTGTAATCCCAGCACTTTGGGAGGCCAAGGCGGGTAGATCACGAGGTCAGGAGATCAAGACCACGGTGAAACCCCATCTCTACTAAATACAAAAAATTAGCCCGGGGTGGTGGTGGGCGCCTGTAATCATACGTACTAACGAGGCTAAGGCAGAATTACTTGAACCTGGGAGGCAGAGGTTGCAGTGAGCTGAGATCGCGCCACTGCACTCCAGCCTGGGCAACAGAGCAAGACTCCACCTCAAAAAAAAAAGAAAAAAGTTTTGGGAATAGGATTTGGAGACAAATTAAATGGAATGGCAAAATTGGTCATATTAGATTCCCAGTGTTGTGGTAAGTAGCAGCACAACAAAATGGTAAAGTATGCATGCTTTATAGAGTCAAACCATCCTGGATTCCAATCTGTACTCTTTCTACTTAATAGCTGTGGACATGATTCAATCATCTTGAGCCTCTATTTTCTTGTAAAACAGATATACTCAATAACAGGAAGACTAAGTGACACTGCACATAGCGTATCTACCAGTGTCCTGCACATAGTGATAAATGTTGACAGTTGTTTTGGTATTAAGTGAATATGGGTGTGGTACTGGTTGCTATGATATGGAAGACAAATAGAAGAACAGGTCTGAATTAGAAGAAAAATAAGGAAAACAGGAGGGCTGTTTTTAGTGCTTTCAAGTATGACTACAAATTCTCAAGGTCCCTCCCTGTGGGGTGCTTTGAGGAAATCCTCTTGTCTATAGCCACTCTTTGCTTATTAACAGACTCCTGTACATAAGGGATCAACAGTGTCCTTCTGGGGTTTATGTTTAAGGCCTTCTTTTCCTTGCGAACCATGAAGATTCCCCTGGCTCCTCACTCCAGATATCCTGATCACAAAGGAGTCCTACAAATATGAAAGAATCGACAACTGAAATGAGCTGGGAGAGACAGCAGCTCCTGTACTGGAGTTACATAACGTGAAACAGACACTTAAAAAGTCCAGAGAATGGCCGGGCACGGTGGCTCAAGCCTGTAATCCCAACACTTTGGGAGGCTGAGACGGGCGGATCACGAGGTCAGGAGATCGAGACTATCCTGGCTAATACGGTGAAACCCCGTCTCTACTAAAAAATACCAAAAAACTAGCCGGGCAAGGTGGCGGGCGCCTGTAGTCCCAGCTACTCGGGAGGCTGAGGCAGGAGAATGGCGTAAACCCGGGAGGCGGAGCTTGCAGTGAGCTGAGATCCGGCCACTGCACTCCAGCCTGGGCAACAGAGCGAGACTCCGTCTCAAAAAAAAAAAAAAAAAAAAAAAAAGTCCAGAGAACAGCCAGTCAGTCACAGCTGAGTACCAGTTTGATGCTTTGTAGGGTTCTGGATGAGAGCCAATGGTCAGTAAGAACAATTACTTAATGACGATTGACCTTTACTTAGTGGGGCATATTTTCCCCCTTATTCTAAGCCACAATGAAACTAGGGCATTCTAGCAGCTTCCATTGGACAGAATAAACAGGATAGGGTCTACTAACTACTCAGGACCTGGGAGGGGCCTGCAGTTTTTGTCCTCTAGTCCATGTAAGCTCAGCCGTATTAAAAAATTCCTCTTCCCTTAGTCTGTCTCCACTGGTTCTGTTTTAAATGAGAGCATAATCACCTGAGTTTCCTAATAAGAAAAAGGTCTACTGAAGCTGGTAACCAGGTCAGCTTGTTGCGAACAGTCTTGGTAACAGTCTTGACAGTTAGCTAGTTGGTGATTCTCTATTCAGCACTCATGCGTGTGGTCCTCGTCTTTTAGTTGTCTCAGAAAAGCAATTCATATGGAGGCCTTCATGTTGCTTGATGGCCCCTGCAGATATCTTCATCTTCAACATGGGCATCAAATCCAATCTCATCTGCACAGCTCTTTCTAGTTTTTTCTACCCGTATTGTGGTAGGCCAGATCTCAATAACGCAGGCCTCCATGACAACTGTTTCAACACTGAGTGGTTAAGTTAAATATTAAAAGCTGAGTCAGGGCCCTTATACAAAGGCTGGAATATAACAAAAGCCCACCAAGGGTTTTGCCCAGGCCTTTTCTGGGCCTTAAAGCATGACAAGGTAACAAAGGAATTTTTAACAGGACCCATTTAGGATTAAACAAATTTTATTGGGAGTCTGAAGGGACTTATTGAGGGTCTGAAGGCCTTCACAAACAAGTTTACTGGGGGGTCTGAAGGAACTCCCCAAACCTCCATGATTTAGCAGGAGACAAGATAAGGGTAATCACCCCAGAACCTGGACCCATTTAGATTAAGTAAATGTACTTGAGGCTCCAGAGGAAGGTTTTTGGGACTCAGATCTTATTTACAGATTTAAAAAAGTGAATCACTTGTCTTTAGATGAATGCACACTCACACGTAGACATACAGCTTATAAGGTAAATAAGCTCTGGAAAACTCTGTAGTTTTGAGTTGGTCTTGGGATCATTTCCTGGCCTTCTCCCCATACCTGGATACAGAAATAAACTCCCTCTTTTCCCAGTTCATCTGCACCTCATTA